GGAGAATCAGAACATTTGGGGGCACCAGTTGGTAGCACTAGTATTATAAATGAGATTGCATCTACTGATCAATTTGGTGAAGACAAACTTGATAAGGAACACAAGGTTATTGATTCTTCTCAGGATAATTATGTTGTTGATGGGGTATCTGAAGTCCGGGATGGTTCTATTCCAGTCGGTAGTACTAGAGAGGATGTTGAGGATATGAAAATTTCATCTTATGAGGGAGTGCTTGAGGACAACCTTAGGAGACAAGAAAATGATGTGGAGGTAACCCCAGTAACATCAAAGGAAGCCTTGAAAAACCACAGCATTAAGTTGGATAATGAGGGTCTGAAACTCTCAGACATGGATGCTGAGCCAGATATGTCCAATCCAGCCACTCAGGTATATGAGGTCAACCCTAATTTAGGGTCTCAAGTAAAATCTGACTCATTTTCTACTGATACTTTGCCCATTAATGAAAATAAAGATTTAAATGATAATTTGAATGCTGATAATGTCAAATTAGAAACTGAAGTTGTTAGGCAGGAGATGGAGCTGCAGTCATCCAGCAAAGACCTATCAGGTGTTGGTAGCTCTCATCCATTGGATGGTCAGATGCCACATGAGATGCAGGGTCTTGTTGGAGAAACTGATGATGACAAATCTTCAGATGTGAAATTTAGCATGAAAAATGACAATGCAGATCAGGTTTCTGTTGACGTTTCCAAGGTAGAGCATGATTTCGAGAGTAAGACTCCAAATAATAGTGAGCAACAACCCGATATACAGTTTGAAAATGCTAGAACTTTAGGTGATGTTGAAGAGCCTAGTTTGTCACCCATGAAAATTGAGGCATCTGCGGAAGATACACATGGTCTTGCTGCTTCTGGTGATGATAGAAAAGGTAAGGAAGCACCTCCTTCCACTAAAAATGAACGTTCTCTTCTTTCCTAAGACCAGTTCTTCCAGATCTTCTGTGTTGTTTCTTTGCTTGCAGATTTTAGCAAGATAGCCGATGTAGTGGATGGTGAGAATATGGAAAAGATAAACTTGGATCAGTCTTCAGCTGATGATTCCATGGAGGAGGATGTAGTAGAGACAAAGCATGTGGATTTTGATCATATTTCTAAGAAGGAGAATGACAAGACTGAAGAGTTTATTACGGGAATGACAGAAGAGCCCAAAGTTCGACCAAGTGGTTCTTCTGATGCAATGCAGCTAGACATTCCTTCTGAGAAGGTTGCGTCTCCTCAAGAAACTAAAGATAAGTCTCTTGCTTTGTCAGAGAAGAGAAAGTTTCAAGGTACTCATGTCTTCTCTTTACTTGTCTCTCTTTCCCTCTTTTTTTTTATGCAGTAAGTTCTCTCCTTCTATTCTACACATGTTTATTGATTACTTCTTCTTTTTTACTTTTACAATTTTATTATTAGGATTTGTTGCTTCCTTATCAAGAAAAGAATATTAGAGTTAGCTGTTCGTTGCTTATGTATTCTTTGAATTGATTTTGTGAGCTTTAAATGGTGAAACTTCTGTATATTTTATATGGTAAAGTCCAGATTGTTAGTATGTTTATTAGTTTTGTTTTTCTTGTGAACGCTCAAACATTTGATTGGGCCACATGTTTTACTAGAATATGGCCACAAAAAATTGCCTATTTTTTCATTGTTAAAGTTGAAGCTCACAACTGGAAAGCAGCTAAAGTTGTGCTTACTGGAGTGTGTCTGTATAATGAAATTTCTGATACCAATGGCAGGTATTAGAATCTTCTTGCAATGTGGGATATGAAGCCCTCTCCATTTACATCAACTTTGGATAATTATAGCGATAATGGCGAATAAGAATACGATTTATTCTTTTCTTATTCCATAATTTGGTTCTTAAGATTTTCGACTTCTTGTGGATTCTTTGTAGATGAAGCAGGAGGTGGGAGTAAAGAGCCTGCAAAGAGGCAGCGTAGATGGAACACTGAGAAGACTGCTGAACCCCAAAATTCTAGTATTGCTTTAACAAAGAAGGTTGTTCAGCCCACCCCTATCAAACCCATCCTTGGCAGGACTAACTCTACAGTTGGTGGGGATTCACCCAAGGAGCGCTTTGGTGAGTATTTGTTTTCTTGGTAATGCATGAGTTTCAAACGCAACAGTAGCAGCACAAGAATAATTACTTCTAATGTTCTGTTAATATTCCAGTACCAAAGTCTTCAAAAACAGCCACTACTTCTCTCAAAATTGAGAATTTCTTGCGGCCTTTTACACTGAAAGCTGTGCAAGAGCTCCTTGCAAGGACTGGTGAAGTGTGCTGTTTCTGGATGGACCAGATAAAGACCCATTGCTATGTCACGGTACAATCTTGCTCTGATTTCCTACTGCATTTCATGCTCATCGAGTTTCTCCATCTTAAATTATACTTGCAATGAAGCATCAGTAGCCTAATTTGGCTGGCTACTCTTAGGAAAGGACAGGGTTGGGGGACAGTTGTCATTGGGATGGGCATTATTTGAAACCTTGATGCTGCACCAGTTGGCCTAAGTCCCTCTGGTCAATTTGTCATAACATAGCATGTTAATGTGCATCATTGCCTTTCAGAGATGCATACCCAAATAGCAATGCGTTGTAACTTGTATGATTTGGCTTCTTGGCAATGCTCTCTTGAACTTATTAGAAAAGTCTATATATATTGTGTTTCCTTCCATAGTGGTTCAGCGTAATTAATTGGTACATGTTCTCTTTACAGTATTCTTCGGTAGAAGAAGCCACAGAGACCAGAAACGCGGTGTACAATCTCCAATGGCCACCAAATGGAGGTCGTCTCCTGGTTGCAGATTTTGTTGATCCTCAACAGGTGCAAACCAAGATAGAGGGTCGGGAACCTGCTTCTCCACCGAAAGTTACCAGTCCTGCTGTGCCTGCTTCATCCTCTGTTCAAACACCACCTGCTCAGCAGCAGGGTCGCAAACAGCAAGCTGAGTTGGAACATTCACTCACACGCCAGCCACCACCTGCTCCTCCTAGTGCTCCTCCAACAAAAGAGATGCTGCCTTCACCTGTTGCTGATAAAAATGATCCCCCTATTGTTACTTTGGATGACCTCTTCAGAAAGACCAAAGCCACTCCCCGTATCTATTATTTACCGCTGACAGATGAAGAAGTTGCTAAAAAGCTTGCCATTAGGGGAAATGCTAAGCCTTGAGATTTTAGGTGAATAAAGGGGGCATGTTAGATGGATCTGTAGAGTGGTGTTCTAGTGTAATGCTGAAAACTGCAAGTTTGCCCGCATAAAGAAGTTGCAGTCTAATTTGTAGGCGAGTAGTGAGTTTCTTGAGGCTCGTTGAGACTTTCCTTTCTTTTCTATTTTCGGTTTGTTACTGCTTGCAGACTTTGGTTGCTGCTAGGTGCAAGTCTTAACTGTATTTTGCTTTGGGTTGAAGAAACTTCTGAATGTTCAGATTATGAAGAATCTCTGTTAGTCTGACTTCTTTCTTTCTCCAGATTTCTGGAGAACTATTCGAATATTAACTATCTGAGTTATGAGATATATTATGTAAGTGGTATCAATGTGCTGAAGCTGTAAATGCCATTTACTATCTGTTTGTTTTCTATTTATTAACCCATCCTTTCCTAGACCCTGTGTGCACGCTGGAGTCTTTGTGCACCGGGCTGTCATTTTTCTTTTTCTTTCGTTGCATCTGATTTTAGCTAAATTTGCTTGTGTTCAACTTTTAAGACCGTAGTTTTTTTCGAGATTACTTTCTTTTATGTGACTGCTACATCTAATTTTATTTACGATTACAATCATCGTGATTTCACACTTACGAACAGATTATCAGACTAACCTTAATAGTATTTGTATTTTTGCAACACCCATCTGATGAATAACCATTCCATTGGAGATCCTGTTTTTAATTTGCCAGTTGCCGTTTATAATGTGTTTAAAGTAGGGAAAATTGTATGAAATAGTAGCAAACTATTAATTCAAATTAAATGTTATCGTCATAGTATATTTTATTTGTAATTTGCAGCAAACATCTCATTTTTTTGCCATCTGATACGGTATACAATTAGCCATTTTATATATTTCGGTATAAAATGTGTTTGTGTTTGTATAAAGCGAGAGAAAAAGTGTATACACAAATACATATATTTTCATCCTATACACTTATAATTATACAAATACAGATCTTATTATACAAATTACAATGTATAAATGAATTTATACAAAACTGAACAATTTGTATAAAATTGGATGTATCTAGCAAATTATACAAATCAAAAGAGCCATAGGAAACATAAAATTTGCTAAGGAGCACAATTATGCAAGCTATAGCTATAACATACAAATATAATTTTTATGTTTGTTATGCGAAAGTTGCTCATTAAAAGTATCATCAAAGCTAATTTATCAACATTCATAACCCCAAGAAAATTATTTGAATTCATTATATATTAACCAAATTATGTAAATTTATCAAAGGTTAATAAATGTATATTCATCAATATGAGTTAGACCCAAATCAATTCGTAATTCCATAGGATTGGACTATGATTTTTAAAGTCCATTTAAGAATGGCGCTTTATGTCCAACGAGATCATTCTCTTGTATGTTGTCTCCGATATATTTGCATAAAGTGACAGTGATTTTAGATTGAAGTCATATAATCAGATTTTTAATTGAAGTCAAACTTAACGAATATTATTAAGATTGTTTTATTTGTGAGTTGAGACTTGATTAGGAAGCACTAATACCATGTAATAATATATTAGCATTTTAAAATTGAAACTAAGATTATAAAAATATATTTTTTTAAAATAATGGACTAGCCCGACATAACTAAGGAATAAGGTTCATCAAAATGATAAACTACCCGACCCGAGCCGTTAAATTTCAAAACCCATTTAAATTAGCAAGAATGTATCCACCCGGCCCATATTGTCATTCAACCTATTTCATCATTTTCACAGTCACGTGACATACACGTGAGCAAACATCAAATATATTTTCATCAACAAAAAGCGGCCCATGAAGAAACCCTAATCTCATATAATAACAACTAGTACTGCAAACGCAGCCTCCCTCTTCCTTTTCCCCCTTCCCCTTTCCCCTTAGTTTCACAGATCTTTGTGTAATCAAGAATGGTGACTACCGGGAAGAAATCGAAGAGGACCCATGAGAGCATCAACAACAGATTGGCTCTCGTAATGAAGAGTGGCAAGTACACTCTTGGTTACAAGACTGTGCTCAAGACTCTCAGGACCTCAAAAGGTTTTTTCTTTTTAATTGCCCTTTTTGTTAGTTTTTTGTATTTTTCTGGTGTTTTTGGGTTTAATGTATGATGGGTTTTGCAGGGAAGTTGATATTGATATCAAACAACTGCCCACCTTTGAGGAAATCTGAGATTGAGTATTATGCTATGCTTGCTAAAGTTGGTGTTCACCATTTCAATGGAAGTAAGTGCATTTTCAATGATTTTCTTTTAATTGTAATCCAGTTCTAGCATTTGGGTTTATTTGTATTGGCATTGATTTTGTACATGTTAGTTGATGAAGAATCTGAAATTTTGTGTTGTTTTTAATTTCATTAGATTCCAGTGTATTTGATATGCTACAAATTTGTTCAAATAGTCCTGCCTAGTACACCCAGCCTCCCCAGACCCCATTTCTGGGACTATATTGTGTGTGTTTGATATACGTAAGTGAAGGTACTGAGATCTTCTCATGGGTTTATGTCCAATATCATGGTCAAGTCGAAGTGCTGAACCCCTTTCTTGTTTAAGCATTTTTAAACTACTCATGTAGGGAATTATGTTTTAAATTAGGAATTTTAAGTTGTGAATGCTTGTAGAAGATGAGACCAGTAAATGACTAGTCACTGAGATTTCATCTTCATGAGATTGTCAAGACCATAAGCTATTCATTGAAATTATTCTATCAATTGAAATAGTATTTTTAGCCTGTCCTTGCATTTTATGTTGCAAAATTGAAACTTAAGTAGGTGCTCTTTAGTTTATCTGCAGCATAATGTTGGTGTGGATAGGTGTGCTGGGCTTTATTGGTCAGTGGTTTGCTAATATATATTAAACATAATCTCTACTAAAAGTCATTCCCACATATCTGTTTTTAAGGATATATTGCATTTTAGTGTCATTTCTCTAGTTTATGGATATTTGTGTGATGCTAAGTCCCGTGTGCTGTATTCTTTCATTTTCTTTTGGATGGTTGGAGGTGTGAAGATATAACTTCTGTCGGTATATTGAGGTCCTGTTTGGTCTGTTGGAATTTTTTTTGAGGAACCTTCTTTATGTGACTTTTGTCTTTGACTAGATCGAGTATTTTCACAACTTTCTAATCTATGTGTTCTTTTCCCCTTACTATTTTGTGTGCAGACAATGTTGATCTTGGAACAGCATGTGGAAAGTTCCACCGTGTGTCATGCCTGAGCATCATTGACCCAGGTAAAGTGCATTTGAGATTATTAATTGTAGTTCTGTAAAAATCTTATAATGGGTACTAATGGGAAGCACACAGTTCGACTGACTCGTGGAAATGATGTTTCAGGTGATTCCGACATTATCAAGTCTCTGCCTGGAGATCAGTAAGAGTTGGTGATCTAGTAGTCATTCCCTTTAAACAATCTAGAAAATGTTTTACCCGGGATGCTCTAAACCATTTTACTGATGTTGAGAGAATCTGTAGTATCTTTTTGTTCTTTGTGTTTTGGAGTTATACCAAGATTCTAGCGTATTTTGGTATTATCTAGTTTTGTTGGTTTTATCATTTCTCCAGAAGTTTGAGGCCAAATACATTATGATTTATTCATAGATCAATTTCCCTCGATAATTTTGCATATCTGAATGAGTTCACTTGCTGATAAACAATTTTGTTGAGCCAAGTGTCTCTTCCCCACAAAGGTAGTATGTTTACACCTCACCTTCTCCGTACTCCACTTGTGAGATTATATTGGGTATGCTGAATGAGTTCACTTGATTATGTTCTTGTTAACTGCATCTGTCTAGCTTCTTTGTTTCCTATTATTTGAAGCTCATACTCAATAATGTTTGTACTATGGGCTTAGGGTTAGAATTGTATACATGCCATATTTTACTAGTTTCCATTAGTATGATAACCCCCACACCCGTTATGTGCCAATCATGTTCATCACTGATTACTTCCCTCACCGTGCTTCATCTTCTCCTTGGTTTTTAACAATCCATGAAAAAGAAAGACGATTCAATAAAGCCATTATATATCAATAGTGTCTGAGAAGACTTGCCCTGTAGAAAGATTGAACGGAATGAACCATGTGGATATTATTGTGATCATAGCCCCCTGACCCTTTTCTCTGGTGCCCAAAATGTTGTAGTTGCAGCGTCTGCCATGTTTCATCGACAATGTTATCAAGTTTTGGAGATGTTGAAGGTATCTGCCATGGAATTTCTTAATCGAATAGTGTCATATGTTAGTAGTATTCAAGTCCTGTTTGCTGATAAATCTTTGGTTCAAATGTATAATGTGTTTAAAAGTGAAAATGATATTAGTATATCTTTTCACTGTTCATTAGACTTGGATCGTCTCACTCAACCCAACTGTGAAGCCCAATGTCATATTTGAGTGAGACGATCTAAGTCTAATGGACAGTTTACAGGATGGGCTCTCACAGATTTCCACTGGGCTTTCTTTTTTTCGAAAGAGAGTTGTTGTTGGTTGAGTAATACTCATATAACATTTAAGCGAGCCAATAATCTGTTCATTAATTAACTCAATCTATTTTGATATTTTCAAATGTAACCCGGTCCGTCCATTTAACATCCCTAGAATTGACAATTTAGTTCCAATTTTTTCATAGTAATGTTATTTCATGTCATTTATGACTGTTAATAATCGGTGCCAAATTTCCATATTCCAAGTTTAGTGCCAGATAACCCGTTAGATTAAGTCTCTGACTAGACAATTGCAATATAAATATTACTTCCTCCAGAATTAGAGTAATATTAGTATATCTTTTCTGTAGTAATCCCGTGAATTAGTTGTTTACGTAATTCATCCAATTAGTTAATTAGCTATTATCACCTTAATTAATTTGTATTTTGGTTGAAACATTACAACACCTAGCAGAGCTCATGGACTTTTTTTTTTGCTTATGATTATTTTAGTTATAAAGAGCCCTTTTAAAAAAAAATTAAGAGACCTCAAAAAAAGAAACGAAAAAATGTTGTGGAGTAAAGCTGAAATGTGTTGGGATTAAAATTAAGAATAATATGAGAGCTTTATTTGGCTTGTCTTGGAGATAATCTTTGTTGGGATCTCGTCATAGATTATCAAATTATTAACTTAGAAAAATTAATTAATTAAATAATCATCTTTTCCAAGTTTTGTGCCAGATAATCCGTTCAAGTCTGACTAGAATACTTTATATATTACCTCCTCCAAAATTGGAGTAATACAATCAATCCTTTTTATAATACTTACTATCTTTTATAATGACATTTAATTATGAAAATTAGTCTACAGCAGTCTAGAAAGAGAATAAATAGAAGTGAAACTATCACAGTAACTAAAATAAAATAATATGATAGTCGAAGTACAAGAAACATCATAATAATGACAAAATGAAAAGATAAGAAACTACATGAGCAATACTATCCCTACGACAACATACCATTATTTACTAACCTCCTATCCTAATATGTGGTATTCACAACCTCCTATCTAAACTCATATTATCAATAAACTGAAACTGTCATATGCTATCTAATTACCTCCGCAAAACTTTCAATGCATGCATAAATATTTTTTGAACCTAATTAATGGGACCATTTTGTCATTTTCTAGCCCATGGAACTTGCATTTTATTTAATAAAATATCCCCTAATGATTATTTGCTTATGATTAAATTAGTTATAAAGAACTTTTCTGAAGAAACCAAAAACGGAAAACAAAAGCTGTCGAGTTCAGCTGAAATGTGTGTTAGAATTAATTAAAAGAATGATATAAGGGGTCCTTGACTTTTGTGAATAAGTTATATTGAAACTAAAATTATTTAGTACTTTTTTATTGATAGATGCCTGGTTCATCATAAACAATGATTTATACGAATATAACATGATCGATTTCGATTTAAAAAAAATTGTTTTCAATTTTAATCTCAACTTTTTTACAAGACAAGAGTTTTGAGAAAGAAGGAAATACCTCATTTGTTGGTTTATGAGATTAGCAATTTCGAAATTATTATCCCATGTAAAGTGTGATATAAAAATAACATCTCAAATATAACATAAATAATTTTAATATAATCAAACACAAAATAAAATAAATTTATATTTTATATCGAAATTTATCATCTCTTATTTGGTGGATAGTTAAGGGACTGTTTTGGAACAATCTTTGTTGAGTGAGTTGGGAATAAATTTAAAAATTGTAAAATAATAATTGTAGATATTGAATACTGAAAATAAGATAAATTACTTCAAAATAAAATAAAATTATCTGGCATAACATATAAAAGTGATTGATGATACAAAAATATCACATATGGACAATGTATATAGTTTCTAACTTTTTCTTCTTCTCAACACACACACACATATATATATATTACTTTTCATATTATATTTTTCAAAAATTAAAATTGAAAGAATATTTTCACGAGGTTACACGTACTCTGAGAAATATATACAAACAAATGAACAATATTCAGTATTTTCCATTTTCTTTAAAGCATTAGATTCTGAGAAATATATATATATATTCAGTAATTCTGAAATTGCCATCTAATGTGTGCACGAACAAAACCTTTCAGACCATCAGATATTCAGTACCTCTGCAGTTTTTTTTTGGTGTATCAATTGTGAGAATAACATGCACATACCCTCAAAGTATTGTTTTTTTCAAACAAATTTGAATTAGTCGAAACTCAAAAGACGGATATGAAAAACATAAAACCAACGCATCTAATGGGATGATAGTAGAAGTAGTTGGGGTCCTACAATAAGGCCAAGAAGGTGTTTGTACACGTGCCAACCACGTGTAAACCTACATGGCTAGGTGTACACTGACATGCCACCTAAATCAACCCATTCTGCCAAATATATAAAACCATATATACATATATTATTATTATTAATGCTCATTTGGCCATGGATGAAAAAAGATATATACTACTCTTTTTTTTCTGTTTGAAGTGAGCTAGTTTTCTTTTTAATCCGTTTATTAAAAATTGATTTTTTTCCTTTTTTTTTAATAAACTTTTCAATTTTATTTTTTTCTATCTGTTTAAAATTATAAAATTAATAAACATTTTAGTATATTTAATTAATTATAAGATTCAATTTTTTTTTCTTAAACTTCGTGCCTAATTAAAGTAAGCCAAATAAATTAAAAAATAAAAATATTTCTATTTCTTCTGAATTTCATAATTTTTATGTCCAAACTCCCGCTAAATTTCCTCTTTCTTCCTTTAATTTACATAGAACAAAACTACCCCAAACCCCATGTCTTAATTCTTCTTACTTTTTAAAAAATATACTCTCTGTTTAAAACAGAATGACCTCCTTTCCTTTTTAGTCTATTTCAAAATGAATGACCTCTTTCTTTTTTTGGTAACATTTTAATTTCAGCTTTCCACGTGGCATGTTTAAGGCCACAAGATTAAAGAGCAGTTTTATACATTTGACATAACTTTAATTTAGGACCATAGGATTCAAAAGTTTTTTTTTATTTTCTTAAACTCAGTGTCAAGTCAAACTAGGTCACTCTTTTTGAAACGGAGGGAGTAATAAGTATAGGAAAAAACCTTTTGGCCAGAATGGTATTTTACCTATGTTATTTTACTTTTTAAATCATTTTTACCCTTTTAACTTTAATACCTTTTAACTAAAAAAATGAAAAAAAGATTAATTTATTTTAAAATTAAAAAAAAATTATAATCTTTTTAAATTTCTGGCCAAATTTTCTGGTCATTTAGCATTACCAGAAGTATAATAATAATAACAATATAATTTTATAAAAATAGTCCTAAAGTAGTACTACCATGCTAGAACTACACTATCATCAATCATTGACATCTCATTATAAAAGTTAAAAGTTAGCAGTTCCAAGATATTTTCCAACTTTTTTTTAATTAAATTATCTACTAAGGTTGTTTTGCTAGAACTCCTTCTATTTAATTATTATGAGTCTATAAAGTGAATCCAAGTGTACTTTTTTAATTTCAGATACTCCTTTTTATATTATGTAGTGAAATATGATTAAGGTTAGTGATATCATTATATTGTCAAATGCGTGTTAATAAATCTTTGACTTATGACTAATTTTTTTTCTTATTCATTAAAAATATCAAGCCTAAAAAAATGGACTATTACATTGAAGTAGCACATCCAAATCCACAAAATAGCGATAACTAATTTTCTGTCTAACGAAAAATAAAGGACAGTGGTGGAAAAAAAAGAATACTTACCTTATTAGTAGTAAACTTACTTTAATTTCAATTGTCAAGTAATTCAATAACCTGATGATTTTAGTCATTCTTATCTGTTAAATAAGTAGGATGGTAAGTAAATATTATCACATTAATCTAGCTTGGTAAGTAAAATTAATTAAAGTGAAAACATACATTAACTAAACTTTTTTTTTTTTTTTACAAGACTAGTGACTTTGTATCTTTTTTTCTTAAAATGGAATATTTAAACCCTTTAAATAGTAAGTTTTGTTATTTACCTTGAGTAAATTATGGGATTAGGTGCTAAATTTTAGTGTTTTTTTTTTTTACCATCTGAATTTTTTTAAAAATAAATCCCTTAAATGAATAACCCAATCCCCGGAGATTGTATGAGCAAAGTATTAGCTGTCACTGCCAAATTAAAATCTCTGTTTTCCC